CAGGGACACTATTTTCCCACCTGCTCCTTACACTGCATGCTTGTCTCGACCACAATTCAAGCAAAGCACTGAGTTTAAGCTAAGCACAAAGCTCAAAACCTGGGCCTGAAGGCCTCTGGGTCCCAACAGAGCACCCTGCGGGGTCTCTGCTCCTGGGTCCAAGCCTGTGTAAAGCCTCTCCCTGGGCACCAGGGCCGGTGGCAGCAGGACGACCCCCTTGGCCCAGCAGTAGAGCAGTGCCCTGTCTGAGTGGAGGAGCAGGGGCAAGGCCCGGCACTGGGGTGGGTGCAGTGGAGGCAGGCTTTCAAGGAGGGGCAGGAGGTGCAGAGACAGGACAGGCAGCAAGGCTTGTTGGGAATTCCCCCTGATGGGGCTGGGCTGGGTTTGCTGCAAAAGGGAAATGAGGGGGAGGGGGGTGTTTGGTCATTACCCCTGCCAGTGACGAGCCTGCCTCCCAGGGACACTGGCACCCACAGTGCTGATGGCTGAACAAGCCCTGGGGGCCACGGTGCAACTTCATGGGCCTCTTGGGCAGTAGCTGGGGGAGTTGGAGGATGGACACAGATGCCCCACACCTGCAGCCGCACTGTGAGGTGAAGGGGAACATTGCCCTTGGCACCCATGTTGTGAGAGTAATCCTGAGGGACCTGCCCTGCAAAGCCTTCTACGTGGGCCTTATTGCCACTCTCTTGGTCAGGAAGTTTTAAGAGACTCAGAAGTTCCCCCTGCCTGGAGTCTGCACAAGCACTTTTTGGGTCCAGACACACATCACACAGCCCTGAAATCTCTGCACTGGGCCAGCACGACACTGGGGAATACAGCTGGGCCTGGACAGATGAGGCTGCAGTAACAGCAATCAACTGGGCTTGCCGTGTGCAGGGCAAGGGGGAGTCGGGACATGCCTGAGTTGTGCCCTCAGGAGGACTGGTACCCATGCTGAGCCCCACTACTTCTAGGAGGCCCAGTCAGTGCCCCGGCTCTGCCTGGGCACGGTCTTTCCCCTGCCAGGTGAGGCCAGGTGAGGCCAGGAGGGGCAGGCGGCGGCGAGGGGCCCCGGGCATCCCGGGCACGGCGTTGGGCCGGCC